ATAGGAAAAGGCCACGATGATGGCGATGTCATTGTGTAAGGCCACGTAGGAGGCCACTGATCAGTCGAGGAGGGGATCGAACCCCCACCCCTCACAAATCCCTGTTTTTTTTTTCTTCGAAATCATGGGAAAAGGCCGGGGGATGGCGATCTTTGTGTAATGCCACGTAGGAGGCCACGGGCCGTACATTTGGAGGGGTGCAATGTTTGTCAAACGCTGGACCCTCGTCCTCGGGCCGTGCACCCCAGAGGGGTCCTGCGTTTCTGAAACGCTGAAACGCTGGACCCCCAAACAAAACACGGCCAGTGGGTGGGGGTCCAGCGTTTGTCAAATGCTGTACCCCCGACAATGCATCGGCCGGTAGGCGGGGGGTCCAGTGTTTGACAAACGTTGGACCCCCGTCAATGCATCGGCCGGTAGGCGGGGCGTCCAGCGTTTGACAAATGCTGGACCCCCGCCAATGCATCGGTCGGTAGGCGGGGGGTCCAGCGTTTGACAAACGCTGGACCCCCACCCATGGGCCGTGCTTTTGCAGGCTCCAGATGAAGGACATACGTTGGACCCCCACCAATGGCATGGCCCGTGGACGGGGGTCCAGCGTTTGTCAAACGCTGCCCCCCCCCTCGCGTACCGGCCGACGCATTGACGGCTTTCTAGCGTTTGACTAACGCTGGAACCCCCGCCTGCCGGCCGAGGCATTGGCGGGGGTCCAACGTTTCTCAAACGTTGGACCCCTCCATAAGCACATGCCACCGCCGGGGTCCGCCGTTTGTTAAACGTTGTGCCCCGCCCCCGCCCACCGACAGTGCTTCTGGAAGGGGGTCCGGCGTTTGACAAACGCTGGACCCTCGCCGCGTCCTTATGCAAGGTTGGGGTCCAAACTCTTCGGGGCTCTACTTCTTGTGCTGCGGGCATGTGCCTTGCGATTGCTTCTGTTGATGCAATCTCCCATCTTGTGCTGCGGGAGATAGAGATAGAGATAGGTGACATTAATGCATCCCTTGTCATTTTTCTTATGGATATCTCATCCAGGGAGAGGTCGTAAGGGTCCGAATGATGCGGATAAGAGGTACAACAACAGGTCGAAACTGTATCGCGACAAGSCGTGGGCTCTCGACTGGGTCGGAGTGGCCRGCGAGTCCGGGTGCGGTGCTGCTGTGTTTTTKACRGAGGACGAAGGGGCGACCTGGTACTGTTGTGGTGGCATCATCAGGTCTGAAATTGACAAGGCAACGGCGRAGAAGGGCAAGGTCGAYGAGCGAGAATYGAGGAAGTYCTTCCTCACTTCGGTGTACGATGAGCAGGGTACCGACTGGGTCAAGACTGACCACAAGGTCAGCCTCGACCTCGCTCTGTTCAAGGGGTATGGTCAGAAGGCATTCGCTATGAAAGCCTTCGGCGGCAAGCGAGATGGGAATGCCTTGAAGATGCTCTTACTTATTGAATTCCTCAGCAAGACCAACGGGTATAGGAAAAGTGGTAAATTCCCGACGGTCGGCGCTGGTCACCAGCGCTGACGAGAGTCTCGCAGGCTTATCAACGTGCTCTAGCGATCGGCGGCAGGTCGTGTCGACACCGCAACAACCTGCCGGCGGGAAGCAGAAAGTCATTACTTACCAGAGGCGTTCGGGCGGTGGTCCATCGGGAAACCTTCCGAAGAAGAAGGGGTTCGCCAGACCTACTTCGGATCTTCCTGGAAGCTCGCGTTCTTGTGCCAACTCGCGCTTGCGGGACACCGCTCAACGTGGAACGGACGAGGAGTCGGACGAAGAAACGGAAGAAGACGAACGGGTTCGCCAATTGCAATCGCGGTTGTTAGCGACACCTCAGCACATCCAGGGCGAAGGCTCTTGCGATGTGAATGTGGGGTGGGGAGCTGGTAGAGGTGTCGAAGCCCAAGTGAGGGATGATGGGGAATACGACGAGGATGAAGGGGAGAGTGGTACTGGAGAGCGCCGAGAACAGGTTGGAGGAGGGACAGACCATATGGAGTGGGAAAAGGTTGCGGCAGGCGGTGGGGTGGGCGGTGGTGTTGTGCGTGGTTTGGAAATGGGAGACGAGGAATTGGAAGACGAAGGAGAAGACGTGGATGCTTCCACGGGGCTTGCTTCCAAGGGGAGGGGAAAACGCACTGCACAATCGTCGCCGAAGCCTGCTGCGCCTAAGAAACACTCTCGAAGAAAAGCTGTGGACGAAGCTCGGGTCGCCTTGGATGCATCTCAAGGGACGCTTGGTGACGTCGATGTGAAATGCAAATCAAGTGCTCGGATTCGCAAAACGTCACAACCCAAGAGACCCGTGCGGCCATCAAGGCRTCAGAWATCGGACGACTCCAGYGACGATRCTGAAGGCRTGGCCCCTCGCTTGCTCTCCCTCCCTGACRAYGACRAGCAGGAGACGAAGAAACCCAGTGCGGTCAACATGACGCAGTGCTTCTTCCTCGAGTACGACGACGACGGTAAAAAGAGAAGAGACCCGCCTAGGGTGGTGATTGACGTCGTGCAGATTCTTCCAATTCCGGCGGGAGATATAACCTTCAACCAGCGATCGCTGAACTTGGCCATCGTTGCAGGCATCGATGCGGCAATCGAGGCATCAACTCGTCCAAGGTCCACGGATGATCCGGCCCCGTGGGATCCACCGGAGTTGGTGCTGGCTCCGATTATGCCATCGCTTGAGCATCCGAACAGCCAAGGGACACGAGTCCTTCCGCATGACTTCGATCCCGATAGGGCAGACGAGTATTTCTATTACCCGGTTGCCGGTCAACATACTTCCGAAGCTATGAAAAGAGTAGTGGCGAGGAAATCTGAAGTCGTTGAGGTGTTCGACTTTCAGAATTATGATCGTGTATGGATCATTTATTTCGACGACGACCACACGAATGGGTACGTGTATGTTTCGACATACGACAACACGAGAGGTGACCGTGCTATGTTGCCGTCGTTCCACCAAGCCTGCCAGGACATCAGAGGATTTTGGGACTTGAAGAAACGGGTCGGGCCAGTGGGGAACGTGTCCAAAGGGGATCCTACCGGTGTGGCGCACCAGGAAGAGTGGAGGAAATTTTTGAGACTTTGCATGAGGAAGTCATGTGAAAAATCGCTGTGGACGGAGTCTTTGTCTCCGAAGTGGCAAACAGACTAGACAAACAGAATGAGGGGATACATGAATGTCGCTACATGCAAGGACAAGATATGGCCATTGGTAAATGAGTTTTTTTAGAAGTTCGAGGTGGGGGAGTTGCCGCTACACAACAACAAATGCCCGAAGGACTTGCCGGGGAAGCAGGAGGGGGGGTTGCCGGGCCAATTCACTGAAGAGGTGCAGGGGAAGAAGGAGGTGTTCCATTGCGTAGCGGCTACCGACGGGGGACAAAACGCTACGGTGTCCTTCAAAGATCTCGTTCCGTCAAACTTCAAATGTTTTGGAGATATGACGGCACGAGAGAAAAAAATTGCATTGCGGTTGATGATAGATAAGAAAGTCATCGCCACTACTAGATTGGTTCCTCCTGGGAAGTTGAACATGATCAACCTCCTCGACATCATAATGCGCAAGAGGTACATGATGCGTCTCTTCAACTACATCGTCTTCAAATCGGAGAACAGAGAGGCGAAAGAATGGAAGGACAGGAACTTCTTCGACAATGAAAACGTGGAGAAGAGGTTTGGCGTTAAGGCAGGCGAATGGGATGAGGAAAGGGATAGGATCCCTTTGGAATACGTCCGGAGGTTCCCAAAAGACTCGGCGGAGAGCAAGAGGAAAAAAACCTGAAAGGAGCTGGTCTAAAGGCCACGGAGGCGTTGTACAGGGACGCGCCATTCCACTTCAAGTACTTCGTGTACCACGCCATAGGAAAAGTGGACTTGCTGACAGCTGAGTTGCGACGGTTGAAGAACGCTGCGCTTCATCTGTGTTGGGAGAAGAAAGGGCGACAATCGACATTGCTGCCGGTCAACATGCACCCGAAGGAGTTGCTGCCCGCGGCCGATGAAATTGTGACTGCAGCCACGAACTTGAATTGCAAGGCCGCCATCCTCGATCTCGCAAACCCGAAGGACTGCCTTGCATGGTCGCCGACCGATTTCGATGCTCTGCACAAAATGATGTCAAAATTGTGCGGCAGTAATTGGATTCTGATTGTTTTTGCCCCGCAAAAACAACAGAAGATCGTCATGCGACAACTGTACAACTGAGACGACGTAGAGGTGATACCTGGGACTTGGAAACGTTATCTCTTTGGGACGGTTGTCAGCAAGTACGGTAACTTGCAAGCCGACTACAAGGACACCATGGCGGTCGTCCAACATGCCGAGGGCGGCGACCTCAGGAAGGTCACGAGGATCCCTAAGTTGGAGGCGGAGCTAGTGGAGCTTCACGTTGAGGAGGAGAAGTTCAAGAGGTGCACAGCAAAGCACGGCGGCGATGAAGGAAACGAACGAGAGGAGTATGGGCGGTGGGAACGACATTCGACACGGATGCAGAAGCTGTGTAGTTCATTTCTGCACGAGGATCAAGGGGTGTTACTTATCGTAAAGCCACATGCTGGACTTGTGTGGGAGCTTCTGCGTGCGGGCTATCATGTTTTTGCATGCGACGGGTCGTCCAAAGACATCTCGTACTTGACGAAGGTCATCGACATTCTTGGGAAGGACGCAATAAACGATTGCACAGTTGAGAGGCAGAAGACGGCGCATCGCCCGGATAGAGATATGTACCACAATTTGGGCAAGAAGAAAAACAAGATGTGGGACTATCTGTTCCAAGGCCAACCCAAATCGCCATTCGAGAATGACTACATAGTTCGCAAAGCGATGGCACATGAAGCGTATGGTGGCTACCATAAAGCGCAGTTGGGTGTGTTTGCAATGTTCGTGGCGAGATGTGAACAAATGAGGTTCGCAGCCAATCAGGCTACGCTGTCATACGATGAGTACAGCAAAATCGCCAAAACAACCGATGCATGGAATCCGATCGAGAGCGACGAGGAGACCGAAACATCAGACCTTGAAATCGAAGAGCGAGTGAAACGTTTGCGAGAGAGAATGCAGAGTGTGCCAGCATGCAGCGTGCCGAACGAGAATCGAGAAGAAGGTCGCACGAAATCGGGAAGTCTAACGCGTGACGTGACCGACAGGGCGAGTTCCATTGAACAGATGCAAACGGATTCGCCTACGCCCCTCAAAGCACTTGAGAATGCATTCATTCATGGCAATCGTCACGGGCCCCAGGAAAGGCATTGCACTCTTCGAGGAAACACGGAACACAACACGATGGCAGACGACGATGAGGATGACTTGGCGGTTCCAGATGCCCTTTCAAGGCTGATGCCTAGTGATGATATTCCCGATCGCATTGTGCAGGCCAGTGAACAACCGTACTTCATTGAAGACAAGGTGCCAGAAACGACGTCTGAGAAGTAGGGACACCACATTTTGTGGCACACAGACGTATTCGAGCCATGCATTTTCAATGGGGAGTGACGAGGAGACCGAAACATCGGACCTTGAAATCGAGAGCGACGAGGAGACCGAAACATCGGACCTTGAAATCGAAGAGCGAGTGAAACGTTTGCGAGAGGGAATGCAAAGTGTGCCAGCATGCAGCGTGCCGAACGAGAATCGAGAAGAAGGTCGCACGAAATCGAGAGGTGCGAGCAGTCCAACACGTGACGTGACCGACAGGGCGAGTTCCATTGAACAGATGCAAACGGATTCGCCTACGCCCCTCTAAGCACTTGAGAATGCATTGATTCATGACAATCGTCACGGGCTCCAGGGGAGGCATCGCACTCTTCGAGGAAACACGGAACACAACATGATGGCAGACGACGATGAGGATGACTTGGCGGTTCCAGATGCCCTTCCAAGGTTGATGCCTCATGATGATATTCCCGATCGCATTCTGCAGGCCAGTGAACAACCGTACTTCATTGAAGACAAGGTGCCAGAAACGATGTCTGAGAAGTGGGGACACCACATTTTGTGGCACACAGACGTATTCGAGCCATGCATTTTCAAGGGGGAGTGGATGATGGCACTGCATCTAACATCAGGATGGAAAGTTAAAGCCAGACTGGCAGAAGTACCGTGGATGAAAGTGACGAAGAGCGAAATCGTATTCCGTGTCAAGTGCGAAACGATGGAGTGGACGAGGCGGCTATTGAGGAGAAGGCTCAATTGCTATTCGATTCTCTGCACGCCAGCAATCAGATGGAATACAAACACAAGTTCTATGATTTGCCGTCAAGCCGGTCATACAAGACCATCGATTGGAAGATCGAACTTCCTGCATGTCAAGGCATCGAGACAATCCAGTTGGGATGCTCACAGCTTGGGGGCCAGTCGAAGATGCACTTTGCTGCCAGTGTCGAGGAAGCGATGAGTCAAAGTAATGTCAAGATAATGGGGGTGAAGAAGGGAACACGGAATGTCGATAAAGATCCTTCGAACGTTGCATCGTACGGGCCTCCTCTATTAACTCAGGCGGAAAACCAGAGTGCATCGCAGATGGAGAGCCCACTTCTTCCACAAACGTGGCAGTTTCAGATCGAATGCAACAAGGTGGGTATGCAGAACATGCGAGCGAGGTGCAAAAAAATTCCGATGAGATGATGAAACTGTTGGATGAGGCGGAGAAGGATGGGAAAAGGAAGCTTGAGGGATCAACCACGTCCGAGACGGTGATTAATTGTATATCGTTAAGCGATGAAGGGATGGACGTACATGTAGAGAGGCATGATGACAATGAGGATGCAAGGGATAATGTCGATGAACAGAAGGAACTCGATGACGGAGGTCCCCCTGCGAGACGGTCGAAAAGAGAAATAAAGAAAAAACACCCGATTAATGTGTAGATATATGCAGAGGCTGAGTCCGGGTTGGCGTAACACTCTGTGTATGTGTGTTAGTGCTTGTACGCAACTCGAATAAATATTTTAGGAGATAGACGTGTGATATAATAATTGATTCGCCGTGTGGTATAATAATTGATTCCGCAGTGAATTGGAGATGACCTCTCTCTCTCTCTCTCTCTCTCTCTCTCTCTCTCTCTCTCTCTCTCTCTCTGTCTCTCTCTGTCTCTGTCTCTGTCTCTGTCTCTGTCTCCCTCTCTCCGTCCCCCTTTCCCTATCTATCTATCTATCTCTATCTGTATTTCTCGATCGACTGATCGATCGATGAATCTAAAGAAAGTGTGATTAATAGCGAGGAATGTCAGAAATATACGTGCAGTATGTTATAAAACACTGGTAATGTGGTCGATGAATGTAATGAAGAGATGTCATTGGTAATGGAGTTTTTTCAAAACTCGCTCGTTTAAGATAACTCCGATTTTATGCGGTTGATGAATATGAAGGCAGTACATGGAAAAAAAAAACAATGGAGCGTATTGGTTTCAACTACGTAAATTACTAGTTAAAATAAGCACCCCACTCTTTTAAGGTAACTCATACTACGCATTACTACAACAAATAGAATGCAATGAACATGATTACAAATGGACGTATTGAAACATTAGCTCACATAAAGATATGGCGCGTTGTCATGTGCAGCGCGCTTTGCGAGTGAAACTTGGGGCTAGCGACGTCATAACAAGTTCATTCAACGAAGACACAAAAGAAGAATTAACGATGACAGTTGGAAATTTTAGCTTGCTAATGATAGAAAAAAGGGGTTGAACGACCAGATAGTGAATTTTTATCTTAACCTTGTCCTACTGGACAATGAGTGTCATGTGAAGCACCATAATTGCGATTCGAAGAACGAAAACGTCGTTAGAATAGGAAAGGGGCGCATTCTTACAATAACAGTTTTAAGCTCGTTGTTTTTCGCAAAACTATTTGATAGCGATATGAAGTTCGATTACCATCGTGTTTGTAGATGGTTCACAGAGGTCGTGATTAGCGACATGGATTTGATCATTGCACCTTATCACGTCGCGCAAAACCAACATTGGACACTCGTAGTGGCAGACCTCAGGCGTATGAAAATTGAGTACTACGATTCGCTGACGCCGGATATAGAACTCGCGGCGAAGGTGACAGGGGGGTTCGCAAAATATCTGTACATGAGGTCCGTCGAATAAGGTCAAGAAATTGACACGAAAAACTTCAACCACATATGGGAAGTGGAAGGCATTCCAAAGCAGCGCGACTTCAACGAATGCGGTGTGTTTATGTTGACATATGCGTCACTATTGGCGGGAGGGTTTCTTCCATCTTTCACGTTCACATCAGATGATACGGAGAAAATACGATGCCGGATAGCTTTCGACGTAGCTGTTGTGGAGAAGACGATTTTGTTTTATTTTCAGTATAGACGTTCAAACACATGAAATTAACATGTACTGATCAAGAATTAGATCTGATAAAGCTGGGGAAGAGTTTATAAGTGTAACGAGGATTAATTATGCGGTTCACGATGAATGTAACTAGTCATGCAATAAGGACATCTTATGAAAGGTCATCTTATCTCTTATATTCGAGGCTCGTCTAGTCCTTACCTCTCACCCCTCACCCCTTACCCCTTGCCCTTTACCCCTCACCCCCCCTGCCCTTACCCCCTTTACC